GCTACTCTTCAACCATTGTGCCAAAGATGCTGGCTAATATCATAAACAAGGACAAAGCCATCTCCTTCCTGGGGTGCATGGTGCAATTCTACTTGTTTTGCACAAGTGTGGTCTCTGAGTCCTTCCTACTGGCAGTGATGGCCTATGACCGCTTTTTGGCCATCTGTAACCCACTGATGTACATGGTCACCATGTCCCAAAAGCTCTGTGTGGAGCTAGTTTCTGGCTGCTACCTCTGCGGAACAGTGTGTTCTCTGGTTCACTTGTGCTTGGCTCTTGAGATACCATCCTATAAATCGAATGTCATTAACCACTTCTTTTGTGATCTACCACCTATCTTTTCTCTTGCCTGCTCTGATGTGTTTATTAATGAACTCGTGGCATTTATTGTGCCCACTTTCAATGAGATCATCACCATCACGATCATCCTCAGCTCCTACTTGTTTATTCTCATCACCATCCTGAGGATGCGCTCGGCAGAGGGAAGGCACAAAGCTTTTTCCACCTGTGCCTCCCACCTCACAGCCATCGTTGTCTTCCATGGGACAATCCTTTTCACTTATTGCCGACTCAGTTCAGGCGATGGTGGGGATGCTGACAAAGTGGCCACAGTGTTCTACACTGTAGTCATTCCCATGCTGAACCCCCTGATCTATAGCCTGAGGAACAAGGATGTGAAAAAAGCTCTAAGAAAAGTAGTGAGATCCAAATTACCTTCTCAGGACCTACGTTTTTAGGTGGATTCAGGGTTGCAAAAAGGGCCTTTAAGGGGGTTGAGTTTAGAAGAATGTGGATGAAATGCCGAATAAGAAAATAATTTTGGACCCAGGGAATTATGAGTACTTTTTTGGTTGCCCAAATGACTATTTATGAAGCCATATGTTATACCCATTATTGAATAGTTTAAGTGAAAATTCCACATTTGCTGCTCCTCTCAAGTCTTCTATTGTTTTGATGGATTTTGGGGTGGTGTAATTAGACTCCATTTCTTGGTTTGAGATAAGACCAATATATTTCCATAGAGACATGTCTTTACATCATCTTTAATACATGCAACCGTTTTTATTAAATTGGATTCATTTTTCTTATAGGGATAAATATATACTTATCTCATAGTCGATGCTTTTTCTCAAAAATTTAGAGTGAGTTTCCTATATGTTTGTGTGTATTTCTGGGTGTTGTTTTTTCTCATTTTCAGTTATTTTCTTTTTTATTACTTTTTGTATTACAAGGTTATGATTTTGAAACTTTTAAAAATGTTCTCATCTATAAAATGGAGATAATATTGTCCCACATTTTTTCATCAAATTATCTTGAAAATTAAATAAGTTATCTTAAATTCTTAGCACTATATCTGGTATATACCTAATAAATGAATGAACTGATGTTATTATCATTGTTGTTTTTATTTTTACTTCTGCTTTTTATTTTACCTTAATTCTTGATTATGTATTTGATACCCTACCCTTTTAAAGTTTCCTTGTCTTTGTTAATGTTTTCTTTTTTTTTTTTTTTTTTTTTTCCTCTACTGGAAAATATTTTCAGAATTTACTTCATTTAAAAAAAATCTATTGTACTTTAAACCAATTGTATTAGTTTCCTATGGCTTCTGAAAATATTACTACAGTGTTGGTGGGCTAAAACTTTACTCTGTCACAGTTCCAGAGGCCAGAAATCTTAAATCAGTGTCACTGCACTGAAATCAGGGTGTGGATCCCTCAGGTGTTCTAGGGGAGAATTTAGTCCTTGCCTCTT